CATCAGTTCCGACTTCGTGAAAACGTTGTTCGGGTGGAAGGAACGTGGTCAGCGAGGCCGGAACTATCAGTATTTTAGAGGCCTATGATCTATCTTTGTGATTTTGAAGTTTTACAAATTAAAAGAGCTTTTGTACATTCACTATAGAGAGGTATTCAAAAGTAAGGGCATGTCAGTAAAGAAAATATAATTTCACAAGAGACACATTAATAGCTTTAGAAAGTTCATACAAGATAGATATTAACATGCACATTTGTTACTGTTTTCCAACGTAGAGTTCGAGCACGATGAGAAGATCGAAAAGAAACGCATAATAGACAAACGAGGGCTAGAGGTTTGGTACAAACGACCAGACTTTCAGTTGTGGTTCGGGGGTATCGTCTTCATCATTATCTTGTCCCTCTTGATATTCATATGTGGTAAGTTCCAGACAAGTTATTACCGATTAACAGTTTCTTTATCGTTTTTGTCCCAATCTTCTTGTCCAAGAGAGTTTGGATGGGGTCTCAGGGTTTTATCGACCCCCAGTCGTCCAAGGAGGATTGGCTCCCAGGATCGAAACTCGATATTTTCCAACAATGAAAACGTCGAAATGTCGTTATTTTCTGAAATTAAAACCGACTATAAATTCAAAATAAACAGTTCAAAAGATTTGAACCAATATCTCGATCGTTTCTTGTGAGTTTTGGAATTTTTCGTTTGGAAATAAGACCAAAATTCACGATTTAAATGTTGAAGTGAACAAAATGGCGGCTGTTTGAATTCGAATTTTGTATTACGACATACCCATATATGGGACAGAATATCGGTGGTGCACTCTGGGAGCCAATCCTCCTTGCAGTCGTCTATATGTTATTTTTATTCTCAAAGTCCTGTAAAATTGCAAATGTATCCTTCATAATTAATACTGCGCTGGTTTGATTATTCATATATAGGTGGCGCTAGAAATTGGGAAGCTGATTCTTATTTCACCCATAACACAAGTAGGACGTCACGTGACCGCTTTTGGCAGAAACCTTTAGTAGATGAGCCAGGAGTTCATCGCAGGTACCGTATATGTAAATAAGGGTTATGTATTGGAAGGTTTTGGAGGTTTTTGGTTTTCAGAGAGAGATATGCATAATATCTACCTGAGTGACCGTAGGGACTGAAGGTAGATGTGTATATCTCACGAAGGATAAACCATCCAAACCGACCATACATAACTGCTTTATCCTATACCCAGTAGAGTTTTCTAATTTTTTTCGCTTTAACATTTTTATCAATTTTTTGCAAACTTTTTTTTCACATTTTTTAAAATCTTTTTTTCAACTCAGTTTTAAAAAAAATGGATATGGAAACCTCAAAATCAGGATACGGGATATATCTTACCAACTTATCTCCCTAAAACTCCACTGGGTATACGATAGATTCTTATTGGGCACTCTCATACGTGATTTTAGAACCCACGGCATGCCTAGACTTAAAATCCTTTTGGATTTCTTTATTAAATTTGCACCAAACGGAGAGACAGGCGGGATAAAAACGATGCCATGATGGAAGTTTAAAAAATCTTCGTAGATCGAAATCGCTTCAGTCATATTTGAAGATTACAGTCATGATTGAATATTGGATTTTGAAGTATAACTATAAATATCCTGCTATTTCCCAGTAAAAAGTCATCCCCGCGTAGCTTTGTTTACTTGTTACAGGCATGGTGTTGGTGCTTCCATACGTTGGTACTACTGGCAACTGCCACCCCCTAGGGCCACAGCTTGGACTCGCCTGTTTGTATGGTTCTGTTACGTTACACATCAGTTGTTCATCTGGGCTGTCATCTATGCCAACCAATTGCAGAAGGTTAATACATTAGTTATCACTGGTAGATGGGTCGACTCAGCCGAATGAAAATACATTTATGACATGTGATTGAATTCAAGAATATGTATTTTTTTCACAAAGTCAGTGAATTGCATGTACATATACGTTGATTGATACTTCTGTTACACGGTTAGAGCCCCACTATAAAGTTTAAACCATTATGGCTTATATTATAGTCTTACCCAATGTTATCAAAGTGTGATATGTGAAACTTTTTTTTAATTTCAAAAAGTGGTTTTTGAAGGACTTTTTTGCGAAAAAATAGTGGATTTATTTAAAACTAACTTTTAGAACACGTATCTTTTAATAATTCACACCAATGCATATAGCATTCATCCACATGTGGATTCGTGGATTTTGCCGAAATAATTAAGAAAATTGGTTCCTAGCGAGAAATTAACTAATCCATGCATGAAAATGGTGCAGAGAAAAATGCATTTCAAAATTCTAGTTCTTATTGAAGCCAATGGTATAATAGTATTTAAAATATAATATATTCTTCCGTTTAATCTGGTTAGACAATCAAAATTGGTTTATTGTTCGATGTTTGGCATATTTAGAAAGGATTTTGTTCAAAATGTTTTGCCACCTAGGACGCATCACTTAGATTGCTAAATATTTTTGATATGCTAAAACCATGGGCTATCAATTCTAGTTGAAAGCCCATGGCTAAAACATTGTAGCGGCACATAAGATATTACATTTATTATTGAAATAGCGCGTCCTTTGTTAAATCTTTGCATTGGTGTTAGAAATATTTTTTGAACTGTATATTCGAATATTTAATGATTACAAAATTTGAACTTTTAATTGGAAAATGGCGGGATATTTGAATATTTGAGAAATAAAAAGGTGACAACTTTCTTAATTTTTTTTCAAAAATCTCTAAAAATAAGTTTTTAAGTCAAAACAATAGTAAATGACATTGCATGATAAAAACATATTCTCACACTTTACATAGGGACTTTAAACGATTCCACGGTTATTTATAGTTAAAAGAGCCGGTGTCGAACAAATACACATCTTACCTCTCACCATACAACTGGACTGCGTTTGGCATCAATGCGTTTTTCCATCTGCTTCACCTGATCCAGACCCACTCCACATATGATGCCACTGCGCAGGATGTGTCTGAGGCTAGTTCACAAGGTAGACAAGTACTACAATTATTTAGGTCACTCTGTACTCGTTGATTGACCAATCAGAGAACATTATTATTAAGATATGCGGTTTAATATTTAATCTTTGCCTTGTTAAATGTATTATTTCATGTTTGATTCAATAAAAAAAAATAAAAATTAAAAAAAGATATGCGGACTTGTACCTTTAGGTTCCGTCATCATGATGCTGGTCTTCATATTATTCATCGAGTACAAAGATAGGGGGCTCTTCATGGGATGGCCGACCGTGCGCAATAAAGACAAGTTCAGCAGCTTCTTACGGTTAAACTACGGCCCTACAAACCTAACTAAGAAGTATCATGGCTACGCATTTGCTTGGGCTGCTATTTACACATTCTGGTACCATCCTATGGAGAATACTTTCGGACACGTCACAGGGTTCGCCCATACGTGGCTAATCATGCTGCAAGGTAAAACCATGGCTTTTTATTGGTTTAAGGTATGAACAGTTGTAAACGAATGACACCATGTATCAAACCGTTGCATTCTTTACATCTTAACACACTCTTTTATACAGAATCAAGATTTCGAATTTGGCGCTCTTCTTAGACCATAAATCGTTTACATCATTAGGAAAGATGAATTGAAAAATGTGAAAAGGTAGGCTAACACGTATTTCCACTGCAGGATCGTTGATGTACACAAACTGGCATCTGAACAGATACTGGAAGCTCCTCCTTGAGGTTTGGGTTATTCTTCATGGTGGAGTCGTAGCCGCTCAGACAGGGGGCCCCTCCCAACTCGGCACCAGGCTCTGGCCGCTTTTTGTCTTTGGTTTCTCCATTGTCTTCGCCCTTACTCAGGTATGAAACGAGACTCCAGGCTTGGGTAATATTATCCATGTTATTGTGTCATTCTAGATTTGAACTATTCATTTATTAAATCAAAATGATCTGATGAAATGAAATGATCTTGATTTACGTCTTTAGAAATTCAAAATTCAGTCAAAGTGATATCATATTTGAGATAATAATGTATGTAAAATTGAATCTAGAAATGTAGATTGAACAAGTGTTTATCAACTTTGAAAATTGAATTTTCTTTGAAAATGTGACTTCTAGGTCGGGGAGATTCCCTATAGAACCCATGTTATAAATCACAAAAGGTGAAGTATCTTTATTGTATTGGACAGATAATGTTTACTTTTACATATTTCAATTTGTAAAAACATATGATCTAGTATCAGGCCAATTGATAATTGCATCATTATAAATACTAAGATATTTTAAACATTATCTCAGTTCCTTCCAAAGACCTTGAAGAATTTATAAAATCAACAGCTCCATCAATATCCTTTTAAGAGTTTAATTTCTACTATAATATGAGGCTCACAGCACACTTTCATAATTCCAGATATTTTCCCTGCCTTTTTGGAGACGAATTCCTTTTTGGACGAGACCTATCCCAATACTTGTGTTATTTGGTTTCATCACGTACGCCTTTTCCTGGATTCCAGACGCCCAGGGTCGAGTATGGGTGCGATATTCCGAGATCATTTACATTCCAATTACTTACTATCTCTACTTCATAGTCGGCTGGGCATTCATGATGATCTTCCTCAAGATTGAAGAAAAATGTACGTCGCCCACGGCCGCACCACCGAGTCGGTTGGCGAATGCGATGTACCTGATAGGATCATTCCTAATATACGTGATTATGGTCGTTATATCGTGGCTGATGCAATATCTTGATGTCAAACTCCATCTCATCCCGTTGATGTTGATTCTTGTCGGGATATTCTCTCTCGGCGTATCCATCTCACAGATGTTTTTCAAGTACAGCTTTCCTCCTAGGTCATCCAAAATCAAGTCTATCACTAATGACATGGATAGCAAGCAAAGTGGAGATATCAATGCAATGAGTGATGAAGTGTACTCTAACGGAGCTTATTCCCCCATCGACGAACCGTACTATCAAGAAAAGAAGGTTCTATACATGTAAATGTGAAATACATGGCAATTCCTTTTGGCTGATTGTGTCTACAGGAACACCCGGGAGGAACACAAAGTTGAAATCTTCAAATATGTGACAGAAATAATTTTTTAACGTGAAGATTAGGTATGAACAAATAAAGATGATTTTATTAAAATGTCGATGAGCGAATCTTCAAAAGTTTTTAAGTTTTACTGTTGGCACATTTGGGTGAGATGGGTTTTGTTACGCGGTTAACACGATACAAATGCTAGGTCAATCCAGAAGTTCTGATAAAAATGCTTTAACTTAAAAGTTTATCATCCCCTTTCCACAATATTTTCAGAGTAACTGGCTGGGTCATTTTTTCCCTCATAGGATATAAAAAATTAAGATGCTGGTAATGAATATTTCTGAAGTTATGGTTGCTATGGTAACCTCAATAACGCTATAGCGGGACAGGGTAAAAGTGAAGTTTAAAATTGGATTTCTTTTGAACAAATACTCGAAGTCTGTTTTAACAATAACTGCTGTAAATATCCTCTTCTCATAAGTGTGAAATCATTATAAATCCTGTTTGATACAGAAAACACGAACGCTGCCTGATACATAGACAAGTGATAAACACACACATTGCTTTTAGTTCAACAACGTAAAGCAATTCAGAAAAAAGCGATCGAACAGAGCCAAAGATTCAATCATGTTTGCCTCAGACAACACATCATGTCACAAATCTGGCATGATCTGCAATGTCATCAGCAACAAGTTAAATATATAGGTATTAGGACAGAAGGATATTAGGGCATTCTCCATACTTCCCAGGTAATGCCCCTTTGTTTGGATCCCTGTTTGGACTTTGGACTGGCCCTAAAGAAGGGGGATCCGAGTGTTTCATATTTAAGAACATTTGTTGAAATCAAGAATGCTGTTGACACCTCACTAGAACTGAAAAGGTGTGTACAAACAGTGGATGGATAGATACCAGGGTGTATTAATGTAGTGTATTAATGCCGAAGGACAATATTTTGTATATCTTTGTTGAGTTTTACCTCAAATAGGATTGCATAGTTGGATTTAGTTTTTCAGCTTTTCAATATAAGTTATGATGTCAATATGAGCTCAAATCCTGGACCGAGTGCCCCTACCATGGGGTTTGAAAAGTGTGATTACACGCAGTATTTATTAAGATGATTCTGGTATCGATGCATTTGATTCACAATACGGTGCTGGATAGGAAAATGAACATAACTGATTATAGCAAATTCTAAACGTAACAAGGCAAAGTCGTTACGCCCAAAGTTAAATATTTTTCCTTGGTAGATAACGTCAATATAAAAATGAAATAATGTGAGCCAAACAGGGGGGGGGGGGAGTCAGCAAAGGCCTTTGGTTGTATTACAGCCTTGATTGAACGACATTATAATACAAGTAAAAGAGATATAATCAACCTCCAAAATTAAGATAGTAATAAAATTATAGACGTGACCGTTCCCAAAGAATGATTTATGACTGTGATATGAAGCTATTGATTATACTCCCGGGAAATGTTGATATCCTGTTTCTGTTGTGAAGTAAGATGAAGGCTGATGAAAAATCTGAACTCAGTGGACCATTACATCAACGTTTATGCGATGTCGTTTCCTTTTGGGACTTAATCTAATCTACAAATGCTAAATTGGTTTTCTCCACAAATAATCACAATTCAGAATGTCATTGTGTTCCAACGTTCAACTACTGTTTACGTCAATATAACATTTATAGAGAAATCTCAAGAGATAAACGTTGACCATTCGACAACGGCACAACAAAGGGGGGGGGGGGGTGTATAGAGGGTCTTGGAAATGCATATACAATATTTTTCAGCTCTCTTATACCATATACAATATTTTTTCACCATATACAATATTTTTCACAGCTCTTATACCATATACAATATTTTAGGTGAAATACAATATACGATAATTTTGAAACTGCCTTTGATTAAAGTTTGGATATTTATAAGGAAATAATATTATATTAGGAGAGAATTCATGTACTAAAGTAAATGTATTATTATAAGGCAACTAGACTCCACATACATACCACAATGATTTCATTTATTTCATTATGAATTAGACACCATTCGGGTACATCAGCATCAGAAAACCTGTGACCACATTTTATTTTCAGGTAAACAAGTTGATTTAAAACACATTTATGATATAAGATTCATGACTTCTCTTTAGTGATTTAGCAACCTACTTTGACCAAAAAACTAACCATGACATTGCTGCAATTTGCTAAAGCCATTAGCCCAATACCTGTAAAAGTACCATAAAGATATTCAAAATTAGCACAAAACCTGCATCATTGGAATGGGTGGAACCCAGTGACCTACTTTCCCATGACTTATTTAAATGTCCTTCATAGTGAGCCAGGGAAAAAAATTCTTGAAACATAATTGATGCAAAGTTGAGAATGTTGAATAAAAGATTCATCATGTGTTCTATGAAAATAAAGTCTGCTGAGGAAAATATTTATCAGATAGATAATGAAGATTCACAATGCACAATAATTTTGTAAAGCAGTTACCTGGAAAATATTAAGTATTTAAAACAGTTTCAGAAATAAAGGACTTCACAAACTTCCATGTAGATAATTCATTTTTGATTGGACTCGAGTCTGGAAACTAGAGTTTGAAATAAAGGCAAGATGAGACTTGATTGTTTAAACATTTGAAACATGAGACACTTCGGGGTTTCAGATAAGGCAGCCTCAAAGACAGTATAAGTTAAACAAAGGTGTGTCAAAATTAAGCAAATTTCCATGAAGGTCAAACCACATGTTTCACAAATGATTTCAAGGCAAAGATGTATTGATGAGAATGGAAACTACTCTATGTAACTAGAAATAACTTTCTTTTAAAGGACCACGGACGGTATCGCAACAGATTTCAGTCATATATTGGATTTTGGCTATTTTCTGAGGATTTGAACAGGTGCATATGTTAGGCCAATGCATTAACTCCAGGACAAGCAGTCATAGAGATTATAAAATAATTTGGACTTTAAGACAGGGAAGGTGCAAACACCCCATCAACATGTTTTTCTGTAATGTTGTCCTGATTTCCAGCCCTTTCCACACCTGTTTTTCAATGTTTGTTGCATCGATCACTCTGTTGCGTTTTGAGACATGGTTAAGATCTTTAAATGAAAATATGATTCATGCAGGGGTTTTAAAGATATCAATTTTGGATGACCAAAATTAAGCTGAAAACAATGGATCACATGAGTTTTCCCAATGGGAAAATAACACGGGAAATACATGTACTGTTTTCCACTTTATCCCAAATAAATCATATTTTAGAGGTTAACTGTGTCTCAAAGTGCAACATATTGGTGCATCAAACATTGAAAAAACATATGTGGAAAGGGCTGAAAATAAGGACAACATTTCAGACAAGGCATTAACATGACAAAATGTCACCACCTAGTTGCTCACAATATTATGAGTTCAAACTTAAGTCAGATTTGAATTTCTGAGAACTTGTAAAGTCAAATTTGAACTTCTGAAATGATGTAGATGATTTTGAAAAAAAAATTTGGTCAATTTGAAGCAAGTTGAAAACAGACCTTTTTGACCTTGAGAAGGTCATTAAAGGTCAAATGTCAAATCTAAAGTCAGATTTGAATTTCTGAGAACATGTAGATGATTTTGAAAAAAAAGATTAGTCAATTTGAAGCAAGTTGAAAAAAGACCTTTTTGACCTTTTTTGACCTTGAGAAGGTCATTGAAGGTCAAATGTCAAATCTAAAGTCAAATCTAAAGTCATATTTGAATTTCTGAGAACATGTAGATGATTTTGAAAAAAAATTAGTCAATTTGAAGCAAGATGAAAAAATACCTTTTTGACCTTTTTTGACATTGAGAAGGTCATTGAAGGTCAAATGTCAAATCTAAAGTCAGATTTGAATTTCTGAGAACATGTAGATGATTTTGAAAAAAAAATTTAGTCAATTTGAAGCAAGTTGAAAAAAGACCTTTTTGACCTTTTTTGACATTGAGAAGGTCATTGAAGGTCAAATGTCAAATCTAAAGTCAGATTTGAATTTCTGAGAACATGTAGATGATTTTGAAAAAAAAATTTAGTCAATTTGAAGCAAGTTGAAAAAAGACCTTTTTGACCTTTTTTGACTTTGAGAAGGTCATTGAAGGTCAAATGTCAAATCTTAAGTCAAATCTAAAGTCAGATTCGAATTTCTGAGAACACTTAAATTTTGAAAATTTTTTTTAGTCAATTTGGAGCAAGTTGAAAACAGACCTTTTTGACCTTGAGAAGGTCATTGAAGGTCAAATTTCCAATCTTAAGTCAAATCTTAAGTCAGATTTGAATTTCTGAGAACACATAGATGATTTTGAAAAAAAAATTTAGTCAATTTGAAGCAAGTTGAAAAAAGACCTTTTTGACCTTTTTTGACCTTGAGAAGGTCATTGAAGGTCAAATGTCAAATCTAAAGTCAGATTTGAATTTCTGAGAACATGTAGATGATTTTGAAAAAAAAATCTAGTCAATTTGAAGCAAGTTGAAAAAAGACCTTTTTGACCTTTTTTGACTTTGAGAAGGTCATTGAAGGTCAAATGTCAAATCTTAAGTCAAATCTAAAGTCAGATTTGAATTTCTGAGAACACGTAGATGATTTTGAAAATTTTTTTTAGTCAATTTGAAGCAAGTTGAAAACAGACCTTTTTGACCTTTTTTGACCTTGAGAAGGTCATTGAAGGTCAAATGTCAAATGTAAAGTCAGATTTGAAGGTCAAATGTCAAATCTAAAGTCAGATTTGAATTTCTGAGAACATGTAGATGATTTTGAAAAAAAATTTAGTCAATGTGAAGCAAGTTGAAAAAAGACCTTTTTTGACCTTGAGAAGGTCATTGAAGGTCAAATGTCAAATCTAAAGTCAGATTTGAACTTCTGAGAACATGTAGATGATTTAGAAAAAAATTGAAGTCAGTCTAAACAGTATTTGTTAAGTTATAGGAAGTTGTAAGAAATTGTTACAGACGCCGGACGCCAAACGCCGGACGCCAAACGCCGGACGCCAACCACCGGACGCCAACCACCGGACGCCAACCACCAACCGCTGGACGCCAACCACCGGACGCCAACCACCAACCGCTGGACGCCAACCACCAACCGCCGTCGCAAAAAAACGGAGACCATAACAATATGTCACCACTTTTGGTGGTGACATAAAAAACCTTCCCTGTCTCAAAGTTCAAATTATTTTATTACTTCTATGAGTGCTTGATCTGGAGTTAATGCATTGGCCTAACATATGCACCTGTTCAAATCCCCAATAAATAGCCGAAATCCAACACATGACGGTTTGAAGACCAAATAAACACCTTTTGCTATATTATGCTATATTAGCATTGTGATGCTTGTATTAAAACATGCGCTGTATGAACACTTTATACTCAAATATTTTCATGATTTATCCCACATACCCCGAAACACGAGTAGCCATAGTGACCATATTTTTCATCAAAGTTAAGATGGTCAATGACATTTGGCAGTCTCACGCCCGGTGATCTGATGAAATGAACGGAGGGGGAGTAGCTGATTTTCGGTAAATTCAACAAATGTTGAAGATTTATTTTTTAAAGCAAAAGTTTACAATTGAATGGCTACATGAATAGGTGCAGTGCAAAAAAATGCCATTGGCATTTGCATGTTGGCGACGCTGCACTTTTTTAATAGATCTTTTATTTTAGAACTCCACAGTTAAAAAAAAATCCAAAAAGACCTAACATATTCCCCCATCCACTGCGTCTATTCATTTAGCCATTCAATTGTAAACTTTCTCTTGAAAAAATAAATCTTCAAGATTTGTTGAATTTTCTACCGAAAATCAGCTAGATCTACTCCCCCCTCCGTTCATTTCTTCTGATCACCAGGCGTGATTCTTATTTGAGACTGTATTTAACACCTCCTGTGAAAATTTGAATGAAAAGGGCACAAAACTCTTAGTTTGAGAGGGCTTTTCTCTAAACTAACAGTATCGATTGACCTGGAATTTGAAAACAATTATAGAGACTACTTTTCCATGTTTTTCCAACATGGTTACAGTAAGAGAGTTGGCACAATGGGGGAACTTTTTCTTCATAATTAGCCTTCTTTAATTCTAGATACCATATACCATATTTTCTAAAATACCATATACCATATTTTTTACACCTCTTATACCATATACGATAAATTTTGCCCCCTCTTATACAATATACAATAAATTTTCAGCCTCTTATACGATATACAATATCTCTATACACCCCCCCCAACAAACAGTAGAGCAAATTGACGCTGAGAGACGCTGAGGTTTCATGCAATATTTCATACACGTGATATAGGTAAGTGACGTCATAAATTTTGAAATGCGTTGTTTCCTTATACGAGATCCATTAATTAATTTGTCACATCTTCTTATTCCAGTTCAAGAAACTATAAGCACTGCATGTTAGGTACATCAAGATGCGAGGTTGGACTCCAATTTTAAAGAAAAGATGTTAACTCAACAGATAAATTATAGAACAATTTTAACAAAGAGAAAAATATTTAACATCATACAAAACAATACTTTTACCTAGGATTATTAATCTATTAATGGAGTTGCCTACATGAAATTCATGTTTATTAACAAAAGGTCACATAAACATCGCTTTGTGAAACGGATGTCTTTCTACTATAGTTCCTCGTTTTTGCATGGCAGGGCTGTTTTCAGTATCAGAATAGGGATGTCTATCTAATTTAATTTTACTGCTGAATATTCACAAGCAATTTCATATTGAAAAATTGCCAAAAACAATAAAGCGCCGACTGACAGCGGATCGTAATGTTAAAAATCATTTCATAACGGGATGAAATATTAGGAACCTAACCTTTTCGACGCAGCTAAGTAATTTGCTAAACGCGCATTTGATTGACGGGAAAGTAAGTAGGATTTCAATAACATTAGAAAATCTTTGTTATTGCACAATTCATTACTTGCGGAATATTTTTTCTCCATATATCATTGTGTAAATATGCAAGCAATGCTACACTAAATTACCAAGCAACATTTTAGCCTATTGCGATGTAGATTTTTGGAACGAATTGACTGGTAGGCCAGCATTGTGTGTACTTCTGATTTATATGTTGGTCGTACTATACAACAATCTTTTCATTATTCATTTTCATTACAATCTAAAATTTCCGTTTTCGAAAACCGAATCACATTAATTTTTGCCTCTTGATTCTAATTGATCCATTATATGGGTCGAGCTATCGGTATGGCTCTAAGAGCATAAACAAACGAGGCGGATATTGAAACTCTTGAACAGTCACCCACGATTGGTAGTCTACCTAAAAATGAAGGTTTAATGGAGGTAGTAATTTGTAAATTGGAACGTCTAGGATTAGATAAGAACCCCATACAGATTACCCGAGATAACATGGAGCTCATAAGCCTTTAAAGCCTATCAAGGTATTCCGTTTACAAGCTATAAACAACGATAGATATCTAAACAGAAATCTTGCCTATTAGTAAAGATAAGATGCGATAGAGCTTGAAGTAGAGGATACACTGTAACATGAATGCCTTTCATTTCTGAAATAATTAATTAAAGGAAATTCAAAATGAAAATATTAATCCAGTCGATTAGTTGATGGTTTGTGGATGATGATAGATTTTCTGTTTTGGGGGTTATTGATAATTTTGACATATTGTTAGTGTGTTAGTAGATCACGGTTAATGAGAACGGTGTCGAAGATACGGACCACTTACACAGACTAAGAGCAAGCCAAACAAGATATGAACCTCTTAGCCTGGAAAACACGAGAACGGAAGCAAAACATGGCTCAATGACTACAAAACTGTACGGCCGATGTTTCAGAGGATTTGATAAGAACCAGAAACTTACCGATTAATGGAGCATATTATATTTAAGAAATTACGAATAAGGAAATTATGGTTATTCTTTTTAAAATGATGAAATGTGTCTGAAAGGTATGTAGCTAACCCATTTCCAGACCAGGATCTATGATATTATTAATGTATGTTGTCTATATTACATAAAATCATAAGTTTTGACATGTCTTTTCAAGATCTACAATAAATATTTTTTTTATCAAGATATTTTATTGCCATTAATCATTACAAGTACATATTATACATGAGGGACCCAATCGCCAGTGGCATTATAGGTGTCCCTCAATGTAGTTATTATAATTTGTAAACATGGCTTATAGCCTTATACACAGTTCAATATTAGAAGAACAATAAAAAAGAAAGCATCTGCATTTTAATTACCCAAATGCGAGTAGGTAGTTACCAGTTTCACCACCAGGTGGCTGATTCGGGTCAATTAACATGGCAGGTATATAAGAAAGTTCCCTTAAACTTGAATATTATCAATTTAAGTGGCTCAATTTTCATATAACCCTTATGTGTCTGATACTTATACTAATGAAAATATATCCAGTAAAGCAAAATATTATCTGTCCACTCAAAGAAAAGATATTTCATTTTTTGTGATTTTATAGCATGGGGTCTATGGGGAATCTCCCCGAGCTAGAAGTCACATTTTCCAAGAAAATTAATTTTTCAAAGTTGATAAACACTTTGTAAAACCACATTTCTAGATGTAATTTTACATGTAGATTTCAAATATGATATTACTTTGACTGAATTTTGAATTTTTAATGACGTAAATCAAGATTATTTCTACTCGCATCTGGGTTATTGGAGTGTGGGGGGGGGGCTGCTGCCTCTGCCTATAGGGTCCTGGAAACAAAGAAATAGTAGTTGGAGTAGGGAAAAGAGGTTCGCACCATAGTCTCCCATGACTAAAACATGGGACTGATCTGTGCCTTCTATGTGGCACAAAGAAGACTTCATGGTACTACAGTATAATGTAAGAGAAGGAAACAAGGGGAGAAGAGCAGTAGAGATAGGAGTGGTAAGACTGAGAACAATAGTAGACAAGCTTCCAAGTACATGTATCTATGCATGCTCAATAAGAAATAAACTCACCACTGATAAAAGATTGTCAATTTGTTCCTGAGTAAGTGAAGGGTGAGCAAATAAGTAAAGGTTTATTTGATCCATCTGGGTCCTGAACTGAGATTGGTTTCCAGTGATTAGTTTAATATCTCTATTCAATTTAAGGATTTGTACGGTTTTCAATGGGCATTTAAAAAGATGAGGGAAAGTCTCAGGGGCTCCACATTCGCAGTTTGGAGAGTCAACACGACTCAACAGTTGTCCAGTTGTGTGGGCCTTTAAGTTGTAATTTGAGAATGAGATCTGATCTGGCGCGATTTAGAATAATTTCTTGTTTCCTTGAGATAAATTATAAAATAAAGATAAATTATGAACTACAACTTTGAAATTAACAAAAGGTACGAGGATCTTAACTTATCTCCACCATAACATATATATACAAAAGAAGTCTACAATACTCAATATTTCGCACGATTTTCAAGCCTTTTGTTGATCCCAGAGAATGACGGAATACAGAATACAGAACTAGATCTGCAAATCTAATAATGATAATACTAAGTAGGTCAACAGGCTGACAACAGCGACACGGACCAATTAAAATGGAGACATTAAACCAAGTGGACAAAAATTCATACCAGTACCCAGGGGCAGATCTGGGAGCTAACAAGGGGGGGGGGGATTTCAGGTATGAGAAAAAATTATGGGCCCCAAAAACCAAAAAGTATGCCCACATTTTGAGGCCCATTTTCTAAAATTTGGCCTAAAATTCAAAATAAGGCCCAGTACATGTAATGACCAAAAAGGCCAACTTTTTGGGGACTTAAGGCCTTTTAGGGCCCAAAATGTTTTTTTGGGCCCAATTTCCACATCCGAATAATTGGTAATACTACAATTTAAATGTTGCTGTTTTAGCATTTATGCTCATCAGGCGATCGAGAATTCATTTATCGTAGCCCAGAATATTCAAACATGAATGAAGCACAGCTGCTTTTCATGTTGCAGACTAATTTGGATAAATTATTGTTAAAAAAGCCATTTATTATGTTTGGAGAACCACTTTCCAAACTAGTAATGTACTATAAACGGATGTTCAAAGTGTTCACAAACATCATCCGTGCGATATCAGCCGAGTCCGGTTTACATTAATTAATTAGAGGGGGAATCTGAGCCAGTCAACAATTTGTCAATTTTAGGGATTTTTGTCTCATATAACATTTCCATTGTATCGATATTTTCCGAATATTCAAAAGGTTCATGCTTCATTTAAAGAAATACATAGATATTTCAAGATATCCATGTCGCTCATATTTCTATAAATGTGGGCATAGAGGTTTATCCATTTATGTATTTGAAGAACTTACACATTTCTATATATTACGCAAGTGATATACACCATGATTTGATATTAATGGACTTAAGTACCTGGATGATTACCTAATGATGATTACCTAATGATGATTACCTAATGATGTGACTTAAGTACCTGGATGGTATCTGGATGATTTAAGACACGCATCTTTAATTAGTTGGTTTATTGGAAATGTTCTTTATCATTTGAAAGTAGCTAAAACAAATTGCATTCCTTTTTTATTTACAAACACGTCTTTAACTCATGTATGTTGCATCTGTATTTCAGAAATGATCGGAGTATTCTAATTAACAACTGATGATTGAAGAATCTCATAGAGCCGAGAGAGCACCACTGCAGTTGTATAAACCAACAGTTACCAGTTACACCTGCGTAAATAAACACAAACTTCTAACATCCAACTATGCCTATGTGCCGTCGATTCCTAAAGGTGCTTAAGGATAATGCTGATGGAGAAACTACTGACCTTACCACGATGGGCAGCACATCAGAATATCATATACAATTCAATGATTCATCTGGTGATGGAATATTTGGTATAAACCGTACGCTAGCGACATCTTTAAATCCTAACAAAACATTTGGAATCGAATCGGAAAAAACAAAATCGTGGATCGTTTCTGAGTTTAATTTGGTGAAAGTCATCGTTCTTGTTGTGGTTGTTATAGTGCTCCTCCTATCTACATGCAAAATTGTATTTAGAACGTTCTCTTCTTATTCAGGTTCAAAAGATGAAGACAGAGATTAGTTGACCTGAAATTGTATTGACATATTGATTTTTTAATTTTCTCCGAGCACTTCAATAACAAGGCAAGATGACACGATCCCGGATTTCAGGAAATGAATACGTTTCGAGTAACTTTTCATCTTCACACCGGAATAGCCTGACAACGGTAAAGTCAGATACCGTTGTCACAAATGGCGGACATAACCGTCGCTTCAATTTCATGAACTGTATGTTTAATAGAGCACCTAGACTAAATTCCTTAGGAACAACAATCAATCAAAGTGTCTTAATACTCATTGTGCAGTTAATAATGTTCTACCATCGAAATAAAGTTTAATTTTACCGACCAAAATGAGATACGGGACAACGGACACTGTAATTACCATATACCGTTGTCTTTCTAAATTACTCAAATCCAGATTCCGTTGTCATAGACGATATCGAAGACGCTATATTGTAGCGATTCACGACCCAATTTGATCGAAAATGGGATTTCATATTATACATTATCACAAGAGCTTAATGCATGCACAGAATTAGCGACGATAAAATCCCATGAAATGAAGACCAAGTGATTAGACAGTTGAAGCGACGGTTATGTCCGCCATTTATGACAACGGTATCTGACTTTACCGTAGTCAGGCTCTTCCGGTGTGATCTTGGATAAGGCCGATGAGATGTGTTATAAAAAGGTAAATTGATGAAAATAAATATATTCTTTGATTCAATGATTCGCAACGCTCGCCCTCAATCGTGTTGAACAACGTTAATAGGTAATTGGCATTCATTTAGTTGTACTAGCTTGAGTTCTGATGTGAATGCACTCCCATACAAATTTCAAAGATATATCAGTTTATCTATTTCGAAGAGGTTCAGCACACATTTTATAAAAATGTAAGTCAACACTAGGTCAGCTGATTTGATTGACCCGTTTAAGTTAATTTGCATGAATCGTATGACCCATTTTCAGATAACATGTAGTTGCACTGAACTCAATGATTTCAATTACAAACAGCCGATTACATCAAATGCAATTGCATCTTCGTGTGTGATTCTTTTTCGACTAACGTTAATCTTGCACCTGTGCTCTGAAATCATTGAGCATCATGAGTGTCTAGGTTTTCTGAAAATGTACGACTATATGAAATATATTTCCTGAGAAAAATGATACACTAGGAAATCGAAATACTACATCTGTACCTCAATCAGGAGGACGTTTGAATTGGAGCCTGGGAATTAATGGTTGATCGATTAATACATTTCTTCAATAGGATCATCGATTGATTTTTTCGATATCTATGGACCCATGGGCTGTCATTTTCTTCGTCAAAGATACAAACATCATTCACCGACTATTTTATAACAGTGTTCATACAGTATCGCGCATTTATTCAATTAGTTATTGTATATAGGGAAATGTCACCTGAACCGATATTTACAGGCAGTCTACGAAATATCCATCAATTTCACGTAATAAACCTATGCAAATATAATGAAGCACTACCTATCCATTTCTACCACTAAAACGTACGCAAATATAATGAAGTGGTAAATTGTCATAATTATTGTAAGCTAGCAGAAGTCTAAGAATTGAGTTTCCCTTGGAACAATTACAAATCAATATATAACTATGCAATAGTCTGGAAACTAACGTTAACCTCCCGGGAGACTAATGTATGTGTGTAATGTGATAACGAGCACCATTATGTAAAATCCCAGGTCGACCCTTAAATGAATAAGGGCTAGATATCAGGGTGGAAATCAACGTAGTGGGTAATGAATTTCGTTACATTGGTGTATTAGCTTTGGGGTTTATTAGATCCTACTGGTCGTATATCATTTACAGAAACAAGACGTTTAACATTTAACATGCCTTTTACTCATCGTTCTTTTAAAGTTGCAACTTAATTTCTTCTTCAACTGTAATTTGTGTACGTATAACCTAAATTAAAGAAATTCTTTACTTCATCTTATTCAAAACGCGCCTCGGAGCATTGAGGCTTTTTGCGAGTTAAAGGAGTAGTATGTTCAAACATTTTCTCAAATCAAACACATTCTGATACTCATCACATCTTTCTGCCTTCAACTAGAGTGAAGCTAATAGAAGGCCATGATTTCTCATGATGAGAATTTTGAACATACTAGTGTGAAGCTAATAGAAGGCCATGATTTCTCATGATGAGAATTTTGAACATACTAGTGTGAAGCTAATAGAAAGCCATGATTTCTCATGATGAGAATTTTGAACATACTAGTGTGAAGCTAATTATAGAAGGCCATGATTTCTCATGATGAGAATTTTGAACATACTAGTATGAATCTAATAGAAGGCCATGATTTCTTAATGACTTCATGATGACTTAAACAGCCCATCTACTATTGATTAAATACTAAAACTACATATTTTCTGCTTTTAAGTTATTTAAAAAATGTAAATAAACCTACTGAGGGTTGCCATTTTGAATTTATAACGTGTTGATTAATGATGTGTTAATATTGCATGCATTCTATATCACGGTGTATAACCCAAACGCTCCTACATGCACGACGGAGCGTTTCATTTACGCGGAAACGCTCCGGAGCGAAATAAAATGGCGGCTAATGAAGATTCCACTATGACCGTAAGTATTGTTTCTCTCGTTTCTCTTACATACCATATGTTATGGTGAAATATTATGTACCATTCGATGAACAATACCGTGAGGAAAGATCTTATTTATTCAACTTCTGGTGGTAAACTGTTATTTGCTTGATCAAAGCTCCGTAGTGTAGATCGAACGAATCTGAAGATGACGATTTGACCACAAATTACGAATTAAACTAGTATTTCTATGAAAACGTTAATCTTTCTGTTAAAGTAGTAGATCACAAACTCGTATATTCTCATTTCCTAAAATCCCAGTCCAAATCCATTACTTGTTCTCGAGAAATCGCTTGTTTTCCTTAAAACGCTCCGTCGATTTAGAACACAATTTTAGAAACGCTCTTACCATTTTGTTTTGATATCATTTTCAGATTATTAGAGAAGAGTTCCGAATCGAATCTATCTCTCAAAAACGTGTTGTACTTGTTAGGCAAATTGAAACATCTGAACCTGGTGGTGCTAAACGTGCAACTAGCTGATTTAAGCCTACATTAGATGATGTCATGCCTACATGTGTGCTAAATCATAAAACTATAGAAAAAAACTAAAATTTATATGTGAATTAATCTTTCTTCTTTTGATGCCAAGGGGTATAATAGATCTTTTCTTTCGCTTCCTGAAAGGGAAAGGCAAGCTATATATTTCCTAAACTGATCTAGACTACCGGAGCGTTTCCAGTTCACTGTGTTAACCAGATCGGAGGGTTTCTTGAATATGAGAATGTCATCATTTTTAAGACTGGATTTTCGGTCATCAAATCACTATTACGATAATGTATGGTGCGTTGAAGCATTGGAATTTGACTAAAATATACGTTGGTGCTCTAATCTTGGCTCAACTAATCACATGTATCGACAAAAGGGGTTTTGACCGGTAGAATGACAAATACGTTTTTGAATTTTGATAACTATACTGCTTTGTACAGCTCTTCCTAATTGCTTCAACCGTCAACAGCCAGCCAAGTACAACATGAATATCACACCCATCGAATGGTATACTCGAAATATGGAACTCATACCTCTTATTCCCATTATTGGGGAAATCGTCAGATGGCTCATCATTCCCGCCAGCCAGTTTTCCTACTCCGGAGCGTTTCTTTGTTTAATTTCAGTAATGAAACGCTCCGTCGTGCATGTAGGAGCGTTTGGGTTATACACCGTGTATATATAAATGTATGTTCGAAGCTCAATATCTGGCATTTTTTCTTATACCTGTTCTGATGAAGTAAGCAGTTCAAACGGCAATTTTAAACTAAAAGTAGGTTCATCTGAAAATTTCCATTATGACTTTCAGTGTCACAAGCCTGCATTTTGCATATTGGCCTAAAAATTAGTAAGTAGTGTGCCAAAGGTATTGGAACATGAAAAGTATTGTGGCATAGTTTTCCTTTAAATGCCTGTTGGCAGTGTCTACCTACAGGTTGTATCAGTCAGCGATAAACTTTATAAAATAATGGTAAAAAACCTAATCTTTATACAGGCTGGCGCATTCTGTGGACTCGCTTGGCTATTTTGAGGCATATCATTAGACTGGAACATGGTCTTTAGACTCTGATATCTAGTTAATTTTATAAGCACAAGGAATCAATGAAGATCGGATTTATATTTTTGTATAATACGCCTGGTGATTGATCACAATAAAATATTTAAAGACATTTAGTTTCACTGTTTTGTGACATTCATTAAAACTACTTTAGGTCTGGTGTATGTTAAAGTGGTAGTGCTGGACGCGATATTTGATTCAAAGTGTAGGCAAACAATTGCAGAAACAATGCGGAAAGACATTTATTCTTGTGAAATTAAGATTATATTTATGTATTTCTCCTGAGCTGGTCAGCATCCTGACTCTTCCCAGAGGTCTCGTTTCAAGAACCTCTAATTATTTTAGAGTTACCACATGTATTTCGCTGCTGACGAGAATGCAAAATTACATAGCTATAGTAACAAATGAATTTGCAGTATCTATCACATGTATAATTACGAAGTTACAGGCCTGAGGATAATTGCAAACTAAGCATAGACATGTAGAACGATGTATGATGGAAAATGACAAGACTGACGTCAATATTGAAGGGCTTCGTCTCTCAAATACAGCATAACTGTAATTCTACAGAATGAGCTTTGAGGTTTCGTGTGTCGATCTATAGTCCTGTCGTTTCTTACATCGATATAATGTTTGCAGCTACTTCCGCACTAACTCAACCTTTCAATGGTACCAGAAAAAGCTTTCAAATCAATCGTTCTTTTAACAATATTTATATCCATTTTTGATGAAGGCTCATAATTGGATTACTGTATACGTGGTATTTGTGCATTATACGCAACTTATTGACTGGTTCTGACGACTAATTATCGTACAAGCATCGCTTCATAATTTGGTGAATAGCCCTGGGAGTGACGGGAATTGATTTTTGATCTTAGCTTTGGCTCTGGAGGGCTCTGCAGGGAACGCTATCTTGTGTTCCGTAACGTTGATACCTCTACAGTGTATTCTTGAAACATTAACTGGTAAGTAAATCATTAAATTACATGTACAGTACAACTCATATTTTTTAAGAAACTTTTTTTGCGTTAGGATTTTAATCCATTTCTTTTTATTGGTCTGCGATTGAAGATGTCCAGAAAAACATTAGATTAAAATAAAAGTCGATTACAATAATATTATAAATATCAGTAAAAATTAATATAGATGACTGTTGCAATAAAACGTTTTTGTATATATTATCTGATTCATGATGATAATATTATTGAATATAAAATGATTCATACCAAATTGAAACCAGAGCTCACAAATAATTGATCAATAGTTACAGGGCACAATACTCTTGACAAGGCGTGTATTAATTTGGAAACAATGAAGATATGCAATATTAATGAAAGTCAATTGTTATGTACAAGAGCGTTTCTGATTCTCATATAGACTCACTATAACAAACACATTTTATATTTCAGATTGAAGCACCATGAAGAGAATGATGAACCAACATGCATATTTTCAAAATGAGAGATTTTCTGCTTTGCTCGAGGGAGACGAACAGGACGTCCTACGTGGATGTTCAATCAGCGATATATTTGAATCTCTGTCCGATACAGTGCGAAGCGATGGAAAACCAATGCGAGATGTAGAAGTAGTAAGATTCGCTGATAAATCCATCACATTGAAACGATTAAATGAAACTGCGAATCTAGTGGCCAGGAACTTATTCATTAAGTTATGCAAGACAGGGTTCAATGGACATGATAATAACCATGGTGAATTCCTAATAGGAATCTGCATTCCTCCAAGTATAAAGCGCATTGTGGGTCTGCTAGCTATTATGAAGCTAAACGCTGCTTATGTCCCATTTGAAACAGTGCTTCCGGGAGAAAGAGTAAGATATATTGTGGAAGAAACTGACCTCCAATGCATCCTCACAGCGGAGACGTGTACTAGTTTCATGCGTGAGACGAACAGCAACGGTGATGTTATGATATTTGATTATGATGACCTCCTTCAAGAAGCAAAGTTTGCCTTTTTACCTTCGGACAATCTTACGGTGGAGAAATTCGGTGAGAAGCATTCTGATGGACTCGTTTGTGTGCTGTACACATCTGGAAGCACTGGGTCCCCTAAAGGAGTTTGCCTTTATAGCCACAATATTCTCAACCGACTAACGTGGTACTGGAAAGACTTCCCTTTCACGGATAACGAAATGGGGGTGCATAAAACATCGTTATTGTTCGTGGACTCATTGAGTGAGATATTATCATGTCTTTTGAAAGGGATACCCCTGCTGGTGCTGCCAAAAGAAGTGGTGGTGAACCCTCAAACCTTTCTTCAAGTGCTCGACCAGCATAAAGTGACCCGTCTTGTCGTTGTACCGTCTCTCTTAAGGGCAATGTTGCTGTATCTGTCCACACAGACGCAGATTAACCTAAGACGCCTGAAGTTGGTAATATGTAGTGGCGAGGAGCTACCTTTGGATGTTATAGAAAATTTCTTCAACCAGTTTCCCAGAGGACCATCTTTGCTCAACTTCTATGGAAGCACGGAAACAACAGGGGACGTCACATATGAAACGTATAAGTCCCAAAGTGATATTTCAAAAAATGTTGTAGAGGGTAGAGCGTCCATTGGAAAACCCATTACCAATTGCAATGTCTATATACTGGATTCTAATTTAAAATTGTTGCATGAAAACGAGTTGGGAGAAATATACATAAGTGGTCTAAATGTGTCTGGGGGATACTACAAACGGGGTCACATGGCGGGATTTCAAACCAATCATCTGTTCGATCGACCGGGTCATCAGTTTTTGTACAGAACTGGTGATTTCGCAAGATTGGTAGATGGTAGAATCATTTACGAGGGGAGACAGGATATGCAAGTGAAAATCCGAGGCTACAGAGTGAACATGGTGGAAATAGAGAAGGCCATCAGACAGAACTCAGCTGTTGACAAAGTTGTGGTCATAACAAATACAAATCAGAATATGTCTGAACTTATAGCATTCTGCACGCCAAATGGCTCTGCAAAACTCGATGCGAATCTAGTTGAGGAAGACTGTAAACGATTGCTTCCAGCGTACATGCTACCACGTGTTTTCAAAATAGACGAGATACCGTTACAACAACATACTGGTAAGATTGATAGGCAAGCTCTCCGAGAAAAATTTAATGACATGTTCAAAAGAAGAGAACGTCCAAATCCACCAAACTCACTTTCTTCAGAAAGGAGTGCAAAGGACAAAGTATTAGATATTATTTGCAAGGAATTATTCATCCAGCCTTCACAATCAATAATGGGGCAGAACTTTTTTAAGATCGGAGGAAATTCTATCAATGCTATTTCAACCGTTGTGAAGTTGAAAAAACAAGGTTTCAATGTCGCTATTGATGATTTTCTACGAGCAAGGGATATGGAACAAATTCTGAATCTGATTGATTCGTCACAGAACTGTGGTATGAACCCATCCTCACGAAAGAAATATCCATCAAAATACAAGGTAGAATATCTCACAATGGCGCCAGATAGAGAGGAACTGATCCCCTTATTCACAGAAGCGTTCGTAAAGAAAAACCCGCTTGACCAGTTAGTAGGCACAACCGAGAGAGAATGGAGGCGTCTGATCGCTAGCTTTTGGCGGGAACTCCTAGCAGACGACCTCTCATTAATCGTACGCGATACTGAAACTGGTAGAATTGTAGCTGGAACGATAGTTTTAGATATCAGAACCGAGATTGACCCCGATTTTGCAATGGCTGCTGTTGGCGCTATTAACGATGACGCAGAAGATCCAGTAAAGCAGCGTTTGCTGAGGTCTGGGGGAAAATACATCGATTCTGTTATGAATGCTGTTGATGTAGGGATCCAGGATCACGAGAGTATGCAGATATTACACCTGATGGAAGAAAGTGTAATCAAAGTGGCAAAAGACAGAGGTTATGATGGTATAATCACAGCAAACTCACATCCCGTCACAATGGTAAGTTACCCATATGAAATGGTAAAAGGGCAGTTCCCACGAGTAGTATTATAATTTCGATGTGAACATCTTTTTAAAGACAATGTTAGTGTCTTAATTTGTCAAATTGCAATCAACTATTAGTACTTGTAATTCTCAATACCAAATGTAATATTTCAAAGAATATGTAATAGTAGCCTAGAATTCATTAAACAATACAATAAAATGTCTTCAATTTCAGAATCTTGATGAACATTATTTCGGCTACAAAATAGAGAATTCGCTGCATGTGAAAAGTTACGTGTACCACGGCGAACGACCATTTTACAGGGCACCCGAGGACTACTATATCAAGGTTATGGTGAAATACCTACATCATTAGGTCCTAATAATGTCGCCGGAATGATGCGCTTGAGGATCATATAATGTGTTCAGACTATATTAAAAAAAGTCTCATCTTCTGGTGATAAAACAACTGTAATTTGATTATTTTCTACCATATTGACCTTAAAAAATTATGATTTAGATGTTGCTTTTATGTTAGCAACCCTTGCAAATTTGAACTCAAGGATTGGTGCTCTCCCTCCCAGGTGGCATATTTGTACGAAGATCCTATATATCATATAGGAGGTTCATTCATTTAAAAAATGTCAGAGCGTTGGATTATGTATTTACTTATTCTGGAAGCGAAAGGAAATGGTGAAATCGTCATTGATCCTTTTGAATGATAGCGAATGATAGCGTATAGCCAAGCAAAAGTGCAATTGGTGAATAGGTAGATATGTCCAGATTTATTAACTATTTTATTCGTCTATAGGCATGTTACATCACATGTATCTTACATTTAATGGTCAATAAAAGTAATTAAATAATTTTGTCAAATATGAACTGACTCGTTTATTGGGAAATCTTATGAAAGACAGAAAATGAGATATCTCTAATTTCCAAGTTCTTGATGCTTAGCAAGCATAGAAATCTTCTCCATTGAACACTATCTACACAAACATATTATGAAGATTCCTCAGTTATTGAGAAAGTTGTTCCAAAATTAGTGAGTGGCATTTTAGTGCCACCCGGTATAATGAGTAAGTTCCACCTTCACGAGGAGACGAAAACTTAAGATAATCTTTTGTGGCAAGTAAATAATCTAGTTGCATTTTTAGATACAATTGTGATATAACAAATCATTGCTGCCATCTATATATCTGCCTTAAACTTTTTCTCCTTTCTTGGTCCGGCGCAGCGCCATCTAGTGTTTAATAAACGAATCGAAGTTTATTCCCGATATTGTACAGCTGAAATAATGTTCATATAGGGGGTGTCTTTGCAGATAACAGAAATATATGATAGTCTTTATGAAAAATCCAAACTTAAATATATTTTTACACCGGTCCATGACCGTTGATTGTTGATTGCACTTATTGTTGCACCTTTAATATGGCGGTCATAAAGAGGAAAAATACATCGCTTTTCCATTTAGATTTTTTTTTCCTATTTCTAGAAATGGATTCAAATTTTCAATTTTCATTTGAAACAATATATTGGGAACATTTTCTGAAAAACTCAAAATGTTCTGTTCGGTGACCTTTCCGAAGTACAACTTTTAACTATTTTCAGTTAGAGAGCTGAGAAAACTATTTCATCATGTTTAGGGTCATTCTTTACCTTGAGACCTTAATAAGTTTATTGACGTACACTATTAAGCACAGTATTAAATATTTATCAATAACTTGATATTTCTATAAACCTATGTTAAGTTGACCCACGTTATCGTATTAGCAACTAGAAACACTTAAAATATCCTTATTACTGCGTTTACTTGCCAAATATACAAAGGTGTATGATAGAAACGACCCGAGTGACAATTAACTGGCATTGGACCCGAACGAAATGAAAATATGACAGCCAAATGAGACCAATTATAATGTATGAAAAGGGACTATATATTCAAGCGTTGAAACAAGACTGTTCGATGTTAAACAGCATACATGTACAAGTCGTAAACAAGTACTCATCATATTACATTGATTTTAATATTTAAACTGAACAGCATGGGGATAACATCGTATATCATTGCGACTGCTTGTCTTGCGATTCTTGTCAATTATGTCGTGAAACTATTGCAACTAATGCGTAAGAGGCAGAGAGATGAAATTGGCCTGAAGGACTTTCCTGGTCCGAAAGCCCATTGGCTTTATGGAAATCTTCACCAGGTAAGAATTAGTGTCTTTGATGGACACATATATAAGTTTTTATGTTTTTTTATTAAGTTCACATCAACGACATACAGGTTTTAAGTTAAAGAAAAAGTCAACGCAACTTTATGTAACATTCATAAGATATATAGTATGTACGATTTTATGTCATAATATCACAACTCATTACACCCCTCACTTTGCACTGTCACATAACCTTGATTTTCAGATGGTCGACATAACTAAGATTTTGCCTCTAATCAATGAATGGACAACAAAATATGGTGGGATGTTACGCATTAAAATTGGCCCATTCCTCACAGCGTTACGATTTGCAGCTCCAGATTCCCTTAAAAAAATCTTGGCTACTGCAGGTTCACACATAGTTTAGACATACACTCCCCTCCATAAGTTTGGCAACCTTTTTTCCCCATTGAACAACGTGTTAAAGCCTCTTTACGTTTGAATTTTTATTTACTTAACCGGCGATGAAATAACTTAAAATATTGATGGAAACGTAACTTGACTTTATTTCCAATACCTCCAAATTTTCTCAATTTTTTTCCTCAATTACAATAGGACGAAAATTGAAGATAAATTTGATGAATTTTTGAAAATCGTCATTCCCATGTAATCCAATGGGAAATGGAGGGTTCGGGGCAAATCAGAAATCAGTTTATCTTTTCAGTAAAAGATTCAGCAAAAAATATTTTTATATAGAAAATTGAATTGTCTAACTTTTATGAACACTAAGTGTTTAGTTTATTTGATGAATATTAAAGTTACAGCGCTTCAAAGTCATTTTTGAAAATAATTTTCGCCTCCTGTGTTATTTCAATGGGAGAGGTTTTTTGAAAAACAATTTTGACTTTAAGGTGGGACCTGGTCCGTCAGCCAAAAAAAATCCTCGATAGATTTTCCTGAAAATCGCACAGTGTATGTAAATAAGTGGTGTACATATGCTGTAGAAATTTTAAACAGAAAAAAATAAGTTGAGATATAGTAAGTAAGGTTCAAAAATCGTATTTTTGAGGAGTCTATGCTGCTTAAATTGTCATATTTAACATGTAATCCTATGGGAAAACCATACACTTACTTTACCCTCGGGAGATCCGAATTTACAGAAAAACGGCTCGATAGATTTTTTTAAAATTTCAACATTTCTTTATTTGGAATATGATTATGCTTATGTTAGTTTTTTGTAAAAACATTACAAAAACTGTAGTCACAGTATTCAGTCAAAGTACCTTGTATTTTGAGAAAAGACCGGCATCTAATTCTATCCGTTGGCGGAGAGAACAATTGAATTACGTCATAAATTTCTCACCTGAATGATCCGACAAAGATAAAGACGATTCCCATGATAAATGGGGTTTAGCCTTGCTAAATCAAATGTAGTTAGTTGATTTTGAATATAAGTCAATCGGTATGAATTACTTCCACTAAAGTTAGCGTCCCACAGTCTTTGAGAATCAAGGACGTCTATAGGCCTAGTACAAAGACCGTGAATAACGTGCTAAATCAACGGCGGCTGATCGCAAAATAACCAAATATTAATTAAATTATCGCCTCATGTACCTGCTATTTTAAGTATTGATGTAAGTTAAAAGTAAACTTTTGTTTTTGCGTGCCGAGATTTAATTACGTATACGTTGTGTCAAATCATAGCATCGAATCATATCGTCTTTTTATCTTCAGGTAAGTATTGCCCATTATTATGGCTTTTCTTTATTTTGGTTGTTTTTCATGATGTGCTAACAGACGCTCCGCCGATCGCGCACGTTGGCAATTCATTCAAGTAAAGGTGATCATCAAACGTTTGCAATCACCGGTTAATATTAAAATCAGAAAGGCTTCTTTGTCGAATAAACTGTGCACGCCTGACTTGATTACGATAAGGCTCGAGTACTATTGATGTACGTACAAGTTAATAAACATTGGTATGTTGTTCTCGCTTGTTGATATCTAAGCCTAATATCGTTTTGTCAACTCACGTTTCATCAGCAAAAAGTCAGTAGTTGGGTACATAAAAAATTCAAGCATATCATATGTGATATGATCGTCATTAATGACAAAATAAATAGTGCGATCGGGATGTACCCAATGTCTGCGGCAACAAGTACGATGGTTGAGTTCACTGAATGAGTACACAAGTTACATTGAAGTGTACAAAACAAAAGATCCTATTCTTCTTACTCTCTACTCTGAGGGCTGGGAAACAGAAAAACGGCTTGATATTTTTTTAATTTCAACATTTATACGCCACGATAATGCCAATTTATCTCAGATTAATTGTAAAAAAATAAAAATCGTAGTCTTAATATCTTGTTTTAAAGTACCTTATATTGTAAGCTATTTGCATTTCTTTTATTTCCTTCAAAATTGGTGATAAGAAATATTTTGCAAAACAAAATCACCATATGGGCGTTAACATCAATTTACATACTAATTTATTCAACTCATCTAATTTGATAGAACATCTTTTCATAAACTTTTCCTAAATATTTTGATTCTAGAAAAGTACAGTGGATACAAATACGATGGGGTGAATTGCCGTAGAATATTTCATGTTAGGTACCTTTACCATCGCCAGCCATGATTCTCTAATCTCGTCACTACAAGTTTTTCATTCGGAATAATGAAGTCGAGCAGACCGAGATCTGTTTATATAGCGATACGCGCGGCCTTGACAGAACTAACCTATTAACCTAAATATGCGACCTACTAACCCAGAGTGGACTAGCTAATTTGCATAACGTTTTTGCAGTCTGAATCCACTATTCTTGCACTAAACTGGCTGTTTAGAAATTGCATTTATCTGTTTATTGCTCTGCTGTTTATTGACTGATTTCTAAATAAATAAAACCATGGTTAAGATAGGAACGATAGCTTCCATGTGGTGCCATTTTTGTGATGATCAACTTGCTGAGAAAACGAAGGAAATCGAGGGTAGAGCCGATTTCTTGAACTCCAAGTTTCACATAAGAAATGTTGCGTTCTGATTGGTCGGATTGGTCCGAATCCACTTTTAGGTTTTCAAACTCGACGTTTTATAATGGCACTTAACGATAGTTTTCTTCTCTATTTCTCGGTCGATTTCTAAAAGAATAATGTCATCGTGAAGCTGACCAAACACGTTTCTCGATGGTATCACTTTTAAAGCGATCCACTAGTGATAGGTAGGTGAAATTCGAGCGTGGAGACGTTTCTCGAGAATCAAAGAGTATGCACTTTTAGGATACTGATAAATCAGGCATTCTGAATTTGATTGGTCGGCTTTTCTGCAGTCTCAGCCACTTTCCGCCTGTTGTCCTGGCACTTTATTTTGAAGGACTCACAGACGTAACTTGCCTATGTTTTTCATTTTAATAATAATTCTAAGTACACACCTTCATAACGCCTTCATTAGCGACGACCAGTCGCCGTAAACCTCTACAGCATTGATCTCAACCCCGGGGTCTCAACTGGAGACATGTAACACGCCTGGGGACACGCCCCTTCGCACTCCCGACATTGGGTATTGTTGTGTTGCTATTTGGCCAGTTGGACTCAGTTTTAAAAATTCTCGGGTGTTAAGATATCTCATCAAATATTTTACCATGACGAATGAACAATTATGAAAACTAGACGAAGCTCATACGAAAGCGAAAGTGACAACAACTGAACTAGGACGAAAGTCGTGCCAATAAAAAGGATAATCTAAACGGCCTAATCTAAAACGTTTTACATATAAGAGAATATACAATTTTACGAAGTAATAAAACGAACAAAAGTGATTTTTGAATTTATTAAACATAAACACAGAGTAATATGTATTTACAAATATAAATAGTGCGACGAGAAACATAATATTATTTTGAGCAACATTAAATGTGACGTGTCGGTAACCATGTACACAGTGATCAGGACTCAACTAGTGTTTATATCACATCATATATTTCATATGCTGTACATGTAGATCAAACAAACTATGTGCTTTAGATTAATTAGTTTTACTATATTTTGAAAGAATTAAAATAATATGACTTAGAAAAATTCAATCATTCATCGCCATATACTTCACGATGCTGCACGTAAAATTTGAGCGCCATTGTTTTCCCATGTCATAGAAACCATGACGTTACTAGCGCTCAAATATTTCAAATGCAATACGCTAGATCTCCCAACTATAAATGCCCGAAGATGCAAATATTTCTTCGTACATGAAATTTTAAATACATTGGTATTATTATCACATCATAATTATTTGTATGGATGGGTGTCTTTGAGTTTGAAAAACTACATTAATAATTGAGCAATAGTATCGTGCTGGGTATGCTGACGGACCGGGTCCCACCTTAAAGCCTTATAACTTTGTTGAACCTGAAGAAACATATCAATTTTTTGTTAAATAAAGTTAGCAAATTCAATTGCCTGCCTAACTCGTATTTTTTGCAAGGACTCAGATGGATGATTATTCTGTCATATGACTTGCGGCAAACCTACCATTTCCCATTGGTTAACATGGGAATGTCGATTTTCAAAAATTCATCAAATTCATCATCAACTTTCGACCTATTGTAATTGAGGAAAAAAATTGAGAAAATTTGGAGGTATTGGAATTAAAGTCAAATTACGTTTCCATCAATAGTATAAGTATTTTCATCGCAGGTTAAGTAAATAAAATTCAAAGGTAAAGAGGCTTTAACACGTAGTTCAATGGGGGAAAAAGGTTGCCAAACTTATGGAGGAGAGTGTAAGCGTATTTTAAGAGCTTCAGAATTGTATGTCAAGTTGAATACATTCATATGATTGTTCACGATGCACTGTTAATTTAAGGACCCTTTTTATTTAGTATAGTTTCATAAATTTCAGAATTTAGTGTCTGTCGACATATTGATAACTTAAGTCCAATGTGATTTATACTTCATTATATGCGAATCATGCGAATGTTTTTGTCTGTTTCACCATGTACTATTATATGTATTATAACCATCAATGTATCGCTTTGACACAGTACAGTTCTGTCTAAACCGAGAGGATTTTCCCGAAACAAAGTACAGTGTTGAAGAACATTTTGTACTGTAAGAAAATTCTAGAAACTCTGTATGTAACACAATATATACTTGGTTATCTTGACCGAGTATTTCTACATTCACACCGGAATAGCCTGATAACGGTAACGTCAGATACCGTTGTCACAAATGGCGGACATCACCGTCGCTTCAACTGTTTAATCATCACTTGGTCCTCATTTCATGGGATTTTATCGTCGATAATTCTGTGCATGTACCTGTATTAAGCTCTTGTGATGATGTTTCAGATGAAATCCCAATGTCGATCAAATTGGGTCGTGAATCGCAACAATATAGCGTCTTCGATATCGTCAATGTCA